AGGCTGCCGGCAGGGATGGAGAAGAATAACTTTTTTTTTTTTTTGAACTCTTATTTCCCTAGGAAATACGTACGACAGATCAATTATAGTTGACGGAGAAGAAGCATCTCTCGTGGTGTTTGACATATGGGAGCAGGTACTTACAGGCTTAAAATATTTTTTCTTTATGGCTCAGTCAGTCATTCACTCAAAAAAAGTAGAAATAGAAGAAGTATGTTTGCCTATTTCTTCGATCAGTGCAGTAATGTTAAAAAAGTGACATGAAAAAATTAGAATTCATACTGCCTTTGTTCTCTCCTGCAATTAATTTCTTGTAGCTAGGCAGGCAATTTAAAAACCCGAATAGGGCTGGGGCACGAATCCCTTAATGCTTTGAATAAGCAGCAGCTTGCATGAGCAGCCCCGGGAATTACTGTAAAATTAGAGATTCACGATCTGATCAGTGCAGACCTGATATTATTTCTGGAAACAAGAGAATTACGTTTTGCAATGTATTTTAAGTAACAAAATCTTAAAGAAAAAAAGTGGAAGTTGGCTTGCTTTTACTGTCTCCTTACAATAAAGCTAAGAAAAAGATCTTTAAGGTGCTTACAATAATTAAATAATTATTTTTCAATGCAATAAATGTATTTCTTGACTTTTGTTTTAGGATGACAGCCAATGGCTTCAGAACCACTGTATGAAAATGGGAGATGCCTATATTATTGTATATTCAGTGACAGACAAAGTTAGTTTTGAAAAGGCTTCTGAGCTAAGAATCCAGCTAAGAAGAGCAAGGCAAACAGAAGACATTCCTATTATTCTTGTTGGCAATAAAAGTGACCTGGTCAGGTCCCGGGAAGTCTCAGTTGATGGTAAGAGACACTATTCATTTATTCAGTAATGTCGAAATTAGTAGAAGAGGCTATGGAGAATCATGGCCAATAGAAATGGTCCTGTTTTGATGTAGAAAAGTGTATGAGTCAAGACACACTTGAGAAATCAAGCTGGCTGGTTCATGCTGAGGGAGTTAGTAACACACAAACCCATGGAGATGGTGGTGGAGGAAGATTTATGACTGCACAGAGCAATGCTCTGAACTGCAGTACAAGAGAAAACAATGCTTCAGAGCTGCAGTGTTAGGATATTATTTTGTATAGGACTCATTTTTGGTCAGTATTAACTGAAAGAGTTTGATTATATGTTATGTGTGCAGCAGCACTTGTTAGTCTCAAGATTTGGTAGCCCAAGCTGTGCTTTGTAAGGGACAGGAGTGCTGTGTTACAGAACTCAGGCAGCCTTTGAAAATAGTGATCCCATGCAGCCTGTACAATCCTCTTTCTTCTGGAAGTGATGCCATCACGTTTGAGTTGAGCTGGTGGGACCAGGTTCACACAACTCACTCTTACATGTGTTCTGCAGTTGTGATCTGTGATAATTTTCTCAGCTAGTTCCAGCTAGCATTTTGGTAACTAGAGCACAGTAAACACTGCCAACAACACAATATTAATTTCACTTATTTAAACATTTTCCATTTTGGGGGGGGGGGGGGGGGGGTTTTTTTTTTCTTGTTTGGGGGGGGTGGGTTGTTTTTTTTTGACTGGGAAGAATAGTCTGAAATACTGGTGCCTTGATGATGATGAGCCATCTCATGCTGTCTGGTTTTGCCACATTCTCTGTGTTAAAAGACTGCACAGGGAATTGACTGGAGTGCATCAGGAGATATCCCTTTTTTTCAGGCTGGTGGCAGTGCATGGTTGACCTGTCATAGTGGTGACGTCAGTGCTTTGCTCAGGTTTACAACTTTGCTGTTATTTACCACAAGTTGAATATCGAAATTTGCACAGCAGCAATGTTCCAGAGTTACATGCTTATGTCTGGACCACTGAGCATCTTGCATTTTGAATGCAGCCCTAGCCAAATCCAGTGGTGTACAACTTAATGACCTCTAGTGATCCGTTCAATGGCTTGTGGACTGTCATCAGCTTCATTTGTAACTCACATGGAAAACTCTCACTTGTTCCAGCAAGGCAGAGGTGCATAAATGCCTAGCAACTTCCAGAAGAAATAAAAACTATTTCTAAACCTCACACTGTTACCTATCAAACAGTAAGCATGCATCCAAGTGCCACTCCTGTATCACCTTTAGCCTTAAACAATGCTGGGGTGGTCTGTCTGTTGGACTATTGTTGCTTTATATTCAGTACCATTGGCAAATGAGGTTTCTGGCCATATCATGACAAAACCAAGAAAAGTTAGGGGGCAAAAGCATGAGTGCAAATTTGCACTTTCCTACCATGCAGTAAAGCTCTTGAGGGAATGAAGGCACTTTCCTTACTTAAAGTCAATTTTTATTTTGTTTTTCTGCCAGTGTATATGAAGAGAAAATGTCAATCACTAATCTCCCTTTTTCTCTTTCCATCCAGAGGGACGGGCCTGTGCCGTTGTGTTTGACTGCAAATTCATCGAGACCTCAGCTGCTCTTCATCATAATGTCAAGGACCTGTTTGAAGGTATTGTTCGGCAAATCAGACTTCGCAAAGACAGTAAAGAAGACAACGCTAGGAGAATGGCCAACACAAAAAGAAGAGAAAGCATAGGCAAAAAAGCAAAGCGATTCCTTGGGAGAATTGTGGCAAAGAACAATAAGAAGATGGCTTTCAAAGCAAAATCAAAGTCTTGCCATGACTTATCTGTGCTTTAGAAGCTTTCAGCAAGGCCAGATGTTGCACGTGGGTGATGAAAAAGCATTTGACTCTTATGAGAAGTGTATGGATGATCCTCATGGTGATATAACAAGAATGACTTCTCAGTTGAGACTCTCATTAATGCCTTAAGGTGCACAAGCAAGTCCGGAAGTTACTCTACAATGTCTGCTTCATTGATAAATGGTTTAAGTTTCAATGTGTACAAGTAACTGAACTTTAAATAAGTGGCTTGATATGGCCATATTTTCACTGTGTACATATGTTATATATCCTCTTGTCCTGTGGATACCAGTGATGCAAAGATAAGAAAGGATGATGATGAGTATCACCATAGACTTGTCTCATTTGCAGAGCAAAACTTTAACTTGTACGCAGGCTCGTACACTCTTTTTAGTATAAAGCAAGCAATGATAAATCTTTTTAAACTTAAATGTGGGGAGGCGGGAGTAGAACCATATTAGAATGGGAGAAAACAAGTTATATATATATATATAGTTAAATACAGAACAGATATCATTTTATGAAGTTAATTTGCACTTCCATTAACAGTTATTCAATTAATTTGTTACTTGTTTACATGCAGATTTTATAATAAAGTATTATTTCCTGTTATAATAAACTGTGCTTTTCTCATAGTATGGATAAGGAATGAGAGAGCAGTATTTTTATACTGACCTGTTTTCACTGTGAAAAATGTTATACACAGACTATGCAGATTTACATGTGATAAAGTTCTGGAACAAGATAAATCGGGAATATCCTGTGTCCTTTTCTTCAATAGACAGTTTCTTTAAGAAGTAAACCCTGCTTTTATGAACACTCTACTTCAGCAGCTCATATTGGGAAGAGGTGCCTTGACCCTTCATACTATTGTTCATCTTCAGCCTGGTTCTCTTTTCAGCTGTGTCAGGAACAGGCCTCTATATGATGCCTTTAGTTGGATAGATGTCTTGTGTCTATAGTGATAGATGGAAGCCTGCAATGTTCTACTTTTTAAGTCCTCTCCTTCAAGGTCTTGTGTTTTGTTTTCTTTTATTTTCTGGGAGCAGTATGATTTTCTAATCTATCTATTTCTATCTATTTCTAATCTAATACAAGCCTGTAGATACCTTCCAGTGGTTTCAAGAAGTTCAAACCAGGTTCGCAAGGCCATTTGAAAGAATTGTAGGCTTTAGTTGTAGTGTGTGGTGGCCTTCAGTGCTGTTAAAACTTTCATGTTCACTCTACTGTGTTATAATTCATGTGTTTCCGTGATTTTAACCTATTTGCTACTCAAGAAGTTGAAAAGCAATCATGCCTCATGGAAAAACTTGGACTTGCTGCATTTGCTTTGTAAATTCCTCTTAGGATACATTCTTTTTAAATGTGTCCATAAACTCACTTCTCAAAACCAGTAAAACATGCTCTTCTGTCTCTTCCTACTCTCCCTGAGTCCAGTTCTTCAGAGAGATTGTTCCAGCTGCCTGGGAACTCTGTTTGTCCATAATTTTATAGGGGCTGACCTTTCCCATGCAGCAGGCAAATTGCATCAGCTGTTCCACCTTACACTGAGCTTCCCTGAGCTCAAACGAACAACTCTCCATCGGGTTAGTCCAGTCTTTGGACACTCATCACAGAACAGTTAGTACTGGGGGTAATGGCATCTGATTTGCGTAGGTAATGCTCTGTAGAATTAGTGTCTCCTCATGTACTGCTCGTGGACCTAACTGCTTAGATGCACAGTTTATCATACGTTGCTGGTAACAGGGCACATTTTTTATGAAGAGAGGTGTTTACTTTGTGTCCTCTGTGAAATCTGAAGTGCTGCCAAAACTCACATTTACCTCATGATACGTTTTAATTGGATGTGGCTCTTTTCACTACCCTTGCTTCCTGGCAAACTTATAATTGGAGTGTCTAACCACTGTCAGAGTATGGCACCAGCAATCTGCTTACATGGGAGCTTTTAACTGTCAACACCAAAGCCATTGCTCTAGTCCTGAAAACTCTACAAGCAAGAGTATCCAGAGTCACATGCATAAATTTGGCACAAACTTATTCATGCACGTGCTAAAATTACTGCCAAGCTACATGGTGCTCCCTGTACATTTGCAAAGCTCCAGTCTTTTGGTTGGCCTGTGCTTTCAGAATGACTGGGAGAGGACTGACATGTTTGATTGACTTGAGAGATTTAATTCTGTCCATAATAAATACAAAGAACCAGATGCAAACCCAGAGTTTAAGATACGGTATTTCCCAAAGCGCAAACTGTTACAACGACGTGTCACTCTCAATGCTGCAACATAACTGCAGCTGCAAAGCCTCTTCAAGGTCATGGTTAACAGCTGTGCTTTTTGCACGCTCTGACCTACAAATCAGATGTTTCACTGTGTTCATGAATTCAAAGGTCAGGTTTGGACAGCTCTTAAGCCTAAAATATTTCTGTTGTGTTCCAGTGCATCGCTAGAGGTTCATTTAAACTGTGGAAAAGAATTTGTATTTTGAAAGTATGTCATATAGGACACTGGGAGACAATAAACTGTGAATTGCTCTAAAGAGCTAGTCTATAATGTACTCTTATCAGTTAATATTGTACAATAAAATAATTATTCAAATCCTTATTATACTAATTTTTTCATTCATTTGTTTGTACAAGTATTAACATAATTCAGCCATGGTTCATGAAAAGGAAGAGGGTTTGTTGTTATTGCAGCTCTGATCGTAACCTGTGCTATAGAAGCATTAACGGAAATACTATTTTGAAGAGATTTTGTAGCTCCTGGAAGATTTTCTACCAGGAAAAAAAAAAATTCTTAGATGTAATTTAGTGGAATTTCCAAACAGAATTTTTGGAAGTACATGTGCAGCTAGAAGTCAGTAACAGGCACCTAACTGACAAATGCCTCTAAAATCAACCTTCTTCAAAAGGTTGTTTGTATCCTCAAGCCTTTGAAAGTCATCTGTAGGTTTTTTTGTAATTTGAGATGTTTTGTTGGTATGGATACTCAGATTCTTGTCGTTAATGGGGTGAATCTACATCATGTGAAAAATAGTGAGTCCCAGGCAGCAGGACTTTCTCTAATTATTACCAGAGTAGAACAGAGTGTCAGGGGTACCAGTGGTGTGAGTTTTCTTATTTTTTGCCAATGTACATCAATTTTAATTTGGAGGGACAGTTCACACAGTCATTTAATTTTTACTGCCTTCACTGCTGCTGCCAGCTGAAGTTGCTATTACTGCTAATTGTGGTGGTGGATTTTGTGTTGGCACAAATCCATTTGGAACAGCTAGTTGTTAACAACTACGGTGGAAGGACATTGCCTTTTATATGTGACACATATGTTAGGTTAACAAATCAAAGCCTCCTCTGCTTGCTATTGATAAACTAGCTCCTGTAAATTCTTCACCATATGAAAAATGTGAAAATCATTCCTCCATCTGCCAAAACCACAAAGCATAAAATCATGTCACATAAATATAGACAAAATGTTAACTGCAGGGGAAGACTTAGCATCACCAAAAAAGTGGTTTTACTCAGATGTATCTTCTCAAAATAGGACTAGAAAAAATAGGGTATGATCTATATAGTAACATTGCATAACATCCCCATTCTTTACTGAAAAGGAAAGTATAGTGAGTAGACAGTGATTAAGAATCCAGTGCATGATAAAAGACTGCTAAGACTTAGTCTAAAAAAGGTAGGGTAATACCTATACTATGATGAAATTTGCTTTAGTACTCTTAATTTTTTTTCAGAGACAATGTACAGGTTTAGTTGCATGTACACCACAGAGACCTCACTGAATCTGCAATTGCAGTCAAAGGTGATGTCTGTGCATTTCAGGATCACCATTTAGTTTATAATTTACCACACGATGTCTAGCATTATCATGGACAATTTGACTCCCACTTTGCATAAGGGGACATCTGAACTCCAATACTATGGAAGTTATTAATTTCCAAAAATTGAAATAGTAAGTTATGTCACCTGTTGTGCTCTATGACATGAATGTTGAACAAAGAAGTAAAAGATAAAAAGAGGGAACAAATGCCCATTGCTTGTCTCCAAATCAGATTTCTCTAATCCACTGTTTGTAATCCAAGGGGGAGCAACATTGTTTAACTTCAAAGGATTAACTAAGGATTCTAGGACCAAAAGGTAGGAAGCAGGCTGAGAAATTTGCTTCAACACCGAGTTCTTCACCAACAAAACAGTATTAATTATGTACCATGAAAATGTTTTGGCAACTGGGTAAAATGGGCAGTGTGTGTTCTAAAGACTCTCACCTCTCCTCTTTTTTTCTCCCCCCCCCCTTTTTTTTTTTTTTTGTGTTTATAGATGTCTGCTAAATCATTGGAAACCAATTAGGTTTGTTTTTTTTTTCCAATACTTTCCATATTTATTGCAGGAGCTGAAGAAAATATTAAACTGAACTAAAATTTAGCCGATTCAGAGATGCAGATAATTAGAATACATTTGAAAATATTAATTTTCTCAGCCTCCTAAAAAAAAGCTTCTCTAAGGTCTGAAATGGACTGGAGCTATGACAGGATTTGGAGAGCAAGTGCTCCTGCTCAGAATAGCCTACTCAGGCCCATAAAAATCTCCTTAGCTTGTTTTCTGGCAGTAACTCCCACTTTCATCAGCCTCATTACACCAGCATAAATAATTACACTACTGTTAGGCTTGCAGTCCCACTGAAGGTTGTGACCCTTACTTTGGGAATGACAGTTTTCAGTTTGGTAAATACCTTGGCAGAAGAACAGTAATTTTTGTCACATCTAAATTGGATCATTGTAATGCATTATGCTTCACAAAGAGCTTTCAGGAGCTCCAGGTAGTAGGAAATATAACCATGTTAATTAAGATGGCCAGGTCAAAACGACCACATAACTTCAGTGCTCAGGCCTGGGTTCCCATACGTTTCTAAGTGAAACGATGATCGAGAAAAGCTGTAAATAGCATTGGACATGACTAATGTTGAAAACACTCCACTTTGTTGCATGTTTCTTGGCTGGCTCAAAGCTTGTAGAACTCACTATAAAGTCAGCAGCATTGCTTGATTATGGGCTGCTCAACAAGAGCAGTCTTGGCATTTCTGATTGTGGGTATTCAGGTATCTTATTGCAGGTATTCAGGCCACAACAGTTTGGTGCATTTGACACTGCAATGGTAACTACAAGAGATCATGCCCTATTTACTACTCTTTCAGATCAAGGATGCAAAAAGTGTAAAACAACAGAAACACATATTAACTGAACTAGAACACACGGTCAATTTTAAAACTATGCCAATTTGCATCAGCTCCGCTTCATTACAGGCCTGCCACTGGAATGTATTAAGGGGTGTTCACCAACCTTCTCCAATGAAAAGAACAATGTAGCTCTCTTTGGGTATCAGCCAGGTGCTCAGCAACTTTCTCACAGATTTTTCAGCTATGGGTATCTCAGTTGTAGGGCTTCTTTGTCACATGCTTTTCACATCAACTTCAATTTTATCTTTCCAACCCCTATTGTTACACATTGTCACCCCTGCAGCAGTGGCTCAGCAGTATGCTGGGAAGCGGGAAAGTGGCACTCCTCTGCTGCTGCATGACTTACTGAAAAACATCAGCTGTCAACAGCTGTAACATGAA